GTTTGATATAATTTATCAGTTAAAATGTATATGAGCCTGCTGTTGTCATATAGGTAGGTTTTCAAGCTAGGAATATACTTTATTTAATAGGTGCTATTCAAATTTTACATTTCCTCCAGAGTTAGTTTCATCAATTTGTCTTCCTAGGTACTTCTTAGAAGTTGTCAAATTTATTTCAAAACAGATTTTTGAAATATGCTTTCTATATCCTTTTAAATTCTGTAAAATCTGTGGTAATGTCTTCTAGATCTTGATATTGTAATTTTAAAAATATATAATTGATATTGTGTAACAGGAAGAAAAGGTCTAAAGGAGTAGCGGAAGTGGGAGGGGTAGGGGAAAGGAAAGAAAGGAAAGAAAAAATATGAGAAAAGGAAAAAAATGGAAACAAATTCTTTGCAAATAGGGAAGGGTGGAAGGGGTGTAAGGAGGGCAGGGGAAGGGGAAACAATAAGAACCAAGATACATCACGTAAAGGTACAAGATCCTAATGATGAATGTAACTGCATTTTATACTTAATGTACCAATAAACTTAATGGGGAAAAAAAAGGGATATCCAGATTACCAGTTTGCACAAGGCATCAGCAGCTATCAAGAAAATACCAGTAAAAACTACAATGAGATGCTATTACCATAGTCCATAAGAATAGGTAAAATTCAAGACTGACCTTACCATGTATTGGCAACAATGTAGAACACTAGAACTTTCATGTCTTGGTGGTAGACATATAATTGGTATAATCAGTTTAGAAAACTGGCAATATAGATTAAAACATGAATACTCGAACCCTAGCTTTATATACTCAGTAGAATGAGAACCATATATCCATCAAAAATGTGTTCAGGATAGGCTGGGGATTTAGCTCAGTGGTGCCACGCCTGCCTCACAAGTGCAAAGTCCTGAGTTCGATACCCAGTATGAAAAACAAAATGTGTTCAGGAATATTCATTGAAACTTTTTAATATCTCAAACTGAGAACAGTTCAACAGAAAAGTGGATAAAATGTGGTATATTAACATAATAGATGACAATGAAAATATCGTGACATGCAGTAACATGGCTTAATCATATAGATAAAATGTTGAGAAAAAAATCCTTATGCAAAATATATGCTATATGATTTCTTCTATATATGGATAGGTGGATGTATAGGTGGGTGGGTGCCTTAATTACCAATGCATACATAAATATTTGTGGTTGCACAGGTCAAAAGAGTAGTTCCTTTGCCAGGGTAGACAGGAAGAGGATGAGGAGACCCTTCGGGGTGCTGCTGGATGTGGACCAATAGGATCGATGAGAAGAAGTGGTACTTGTAATACTGCCAACTAGAAGTAACCCAGATGACTCTTAGTAGTGAATCGGGCCAACAGAATAAATTATGTAATATTTATAAGGGGACTACAGTATGTGGCAGTGAATGAGCTAACACGTGTAAGTAATAACATGAGTAACTCTCGCAAACATAACATTAAGTGAAAGAAAAAAGTAATTTACAAAAGAACGCTCTCAGTGACTCCATTCATACGAAGCTTTAAAAATAGAAAAACTAAACTGTAGCTTTGGAAATAAATTAGTTGATAACTTTTCAGAGGATGAAGGGGCTAATAATTGGAAGTGGGAAGGGTAGGGGACTTCTGGTCATGTCACATCAGCTTTTCCTTTGTGATTTTTTCATTGCGTTTTACATTTACATTCTACACATTTTTCGGTAATCTTAATTTACTTTTATAGAAATTTATAAAATAAATATTTAAAAGGTTTGCAGCTACTGAATGAATTCTAACATTATATGTATCTATCCAAACAAAACTAAACAACCAGGGATGTTGGTGCACGCCTGTAATTGTGGGAGGCTGAGCCAGGAGCTTGAGCCCAACCTGGGCAATTTAGTGACTTAGTGAGCCCGTCTCACAATCAAAAGGGCTGGGGTTGTAGTTCAGTGTGAGGAAGGCCTTGGGTGCAGTCCCTAGTTTCACCCTCCTCAGGAGCCTGAGTGCAGCCATATGTGGAGGTACATACCTATGATTCCAGCTACTTAGGCTGAGGCAGGAGGATTTCAAGTTCAACTTAGAGCTCCTGTCTTAAGAGATAGAATGTAGCTCAGTGCTAGAATGTTTGAGGCCCTGGGTTCACATAACTGAAAAAGTAACAACAAAAACCTGTTTATAGAAACTGAAAAAAATAGTACTTTTGTTCACATAGTCCTTTTGCATTATACTCAGATTTTTCCATATCATTTAATAAAGTCATATAATTGTCTACTTTTAGAAACTTTTCACTGTATACTATATAAATTATTTTTCTTTTACTATTTAGAAAGGTATACTTTGAAACTGATATGAATTCAAACTCTAAGCATTTTCATTCTTTAATTTTTTGCTTTGGTAGCAACTTCAGTTCTAAGCATGCTTTTAATTTTAAACTCTGTTTCAGTTCTTTTAAACATGTGTCTTCTGGGAAGATGAAGAGCTTATGATTCCTTTGCACATGACAGACTAAGATTTTAGTAATCTGACTTCTTTCCTTTTTAGATTTTTACTTGCAGCAATTTAGTTATTGATACCAGTTTTCTGATTTGGTGTTCATCAGGGATCTGTCACACAGGATATGAGGTAGACCTGGACCTTCTTATTATCATTGCCAGTTTTCAGTAAGAACCATGCCTGCTCAGCTCTTTCTGGTAGCCACTGAAAATGTTCATCTCTAAAAACTTTCAGCATGTAAAATATTCACTACATAATTTTGAATAGGAAAATATGTATTAACATACTTAATCATATAAATTCTTTTTCTAGAGAAAATCTCTTCATGAAAACAAACTGAAGAGACTGCAAGAAAAAGTAGAAGTCTTGGAGGCAAAGAAAGAAGAATTAGAAACAGAGAATCAGGTGTTAAATAGGTAATGTGTAGGCACCAATGTGATTATTTTGATGTCCTAGAACGTTGTTTCTGAGTATAATGTATTTCGTTTTATTTAGAATATATATTTGAAAGATTTCTGAAACTATTTGATAACCCCTAATGCATTATCTTTTATTTTTCTAACTTAATGTTCCTTCACGCCAAAGGATCTATCATGTGACAGGTGTTTGCATTATGCTTGGGACTGACAAAAAAGATGAGTCACTGGCTTTGTTGTCTAGGAGTAGTTGATGCTAAGATGACAAAACACTTGTGGCTACTGTGTAATTCTGAAAATTGTGGCTACGACCTTGAATCAAAGGTCAGTTTTTGGTTTCCTGCCGTGGAAACTATGATTGACCTATAGCTTCTAGTTTTGTGGGCATACCTGGGCACAGATAACAGCATTGTGATTTGAGCAGAAAAGTTGTTGGTAGTAGCACTGTATGACCCATTTGATTCAAGTTAATAAAATCTTTTTGAATTTAGCTAATTAGTGGTAGTCTTCTCTATTTAATGCACTATTAGACTTTTCTTTAATGGAAATTGCCAATATCATGTAGCGATATTTAATACGCACTTGGTATTAGTTGTAGTTCTTACCAAAATATGAATGATTTTCTTTTTAGAACAATCAAGAGGTTTCTAGAGTGGGATTGATGCCAACTTCACAATAGGCTGTCTTAAAGTAGGGGGCCACCAATTTCATTCTTTATCAAGTCCAACTTACTGTTGCTTCTATTAATGTTGTGATGTTATTTTTTTGAGATTGGGTAGCTGAGGCACAGGTCATCTAGGACTTTGGATGGCTCTGAAACTATACTTGATTACTGGTATGATTGATGATCAGGAATCATGTTCAAAAAGTAATCATCTATGAAGGCCTAAAACGTTAGGTTTTTTAATCTTTGTCATTTTCTCTTAGTTGAGTAGCTTCACAAACTTTGTGGTTACCTACTATTAGTTACTGGAAAAAACAAATGTTTTTCCTCCTCACACACAGCCGGTATAACACTGACTGAGGGCAGAGGTTTCCCCATATGCCAAGCAATCAGTTCTTCAGCAGATCCTGGCTGGGTGTCCTATAATTCCATTCAGATACTGCCTACCTGGGCATAATGCCAGATCCGAGGGGTTGAGGCCTCATTCCCAGAAGACTGCCCCAGTGTGGGTGCTGGTCACAGGCTCAGCCTGGGACCTGTGTTTCTGACCAACAGGCTGTAAATAGAGGTTCTCACAATGCTCTGTTCAGTTAATTTGCTGGAGCAGCTCACAGAACTCAGGGAAGTGCTTTATACAAGTTTATTATAAAGAACATTATGGAGGATGCAGATGAACAGGCAGCGGAAGGGACACAGGAGCAAAGGTACAGAGCTCCCATGGCTTGTGCATGTCCATCACCCTCCAGGGACCTCCACGTGTTCAGGAACCCAAGAGCTCCCCCAGTGCTGACCTTTTGGGTTTTAATGGCAGCTTCATAAGCAGAATTGATTGCTTTACTGGTCATTGGGGAGCAAGTCAACCTTTAGCTTTTCTCCCCTCCCCAGAGCTGGAGATGGGCTGTGGCTGAAAGTTCGACTCCCTAACCATGTCTTGGTCTTTCTGGTGACCTGACCTCAATCTGAAGCTTTCTGGGTTCCCCCAGCTACCGGTCATCTCATCACTGTTAAAAATATGTTCTTTCACTCCTGGATTCCAGGAGCTGCCTGGGACCAGGGGCAGAGACCAATACATATATTTTTTATTGTATCACAATATCATACCTGCATTTCAAAAATTAGATTGAACTACATGCAATTCTATATATGGCCATGTTTCACCTAGAAAATTTCAGTTTCGTAAAGCTCACCTAGCATTTTCTTTATTCTTGTTTGATTCCTTCTGTAAGATAAGACATTCTTTGGTGTAGAGTCTCTTTTTAGTTTCGGGATTCATGGTTGAGGAGTGAAAATGAAAGCAAAAGTATGAAAAGAGTTTTAATCTGATTAATTGGCAAATAAGACTATGTAAATTGATGGTCTGCAGTGCTAACTATAATCCTATAGAATAAGGATATGCTCTATTTCTGTTTAAGTAGAATTTTATATATGATATAGATACATCTTGTAATTTAGAAATTATTCTCTTCCAATTTAAAGTATTTTGTGAAGCCAGGTGTGGTGGCACATGCCTGTAATCCCAGCACTTGGGAGGCTGAGACAAGAGAATCACTATGAGTTTGAGGCCAGCCTGGACTACATAGTGAGCTCAAGGATAGGAGCTACACAGCAAGACTCTGTCTCCGGGGGAAAAAAATTGTCAATCAGTAAGCATGTAACTCTTAAAAGAATGTAAACACTGTTTTTTCTCTTTAAGACAAAATGTTCCATTTGAAGAATATACAAGGCTTCAGAAAAGACTAAAGGATATACAGAGAAGACATAACGAATTTCGAAGTCTAATTTTAGTTCCTAACGTACCTCCGACAGCATCTATGAATCCTGTTAGCTTTCAGTCATCAGCCATGGTTCCAGGGATGGAATTATGCTTCCCTCCTCATATGCAGGTATGAGCATTTACTTTCGGAAAAAACAGCCAAACATTTCTAGAGGTTTTTACCAGTTGAAATAGAGAGTTCAAAACCCAAATTGTAAATGTGATCTTAGCCACAAAAATAGCATACCTATTTCAGGCCAGCCTTAACGTCTGCTCTTTGAGGACCAAAAAAATGGGCTGACAAGTAGATTTGAGTTTGTTCTTTCAGTGATGGTGCTGGGAGTAAAATATCCTACTAGGCAATAATAAGAAAGTTGTAATGAGTTTTTGAGTAAGGAAGACTTTGTAAAACTTGGCTTATGTACTGCTGCTGAGCACTTAGTAATGCAATGTGATATGCTTTTTGCATGCAGTAGTTTAATACTAATGAAAAATAGTTTGAGGGGCAGGTATTGTTTTGGCTTGTTTTTTTGTTGTTTTTTATGAGACAGGGTCTTGCCGTGTAGTTCAGCCTGGCCTTGAACTCACTATGTAGCTCAAGCTGTCCTCAAACTCTCAGTGATCCTCTGCCTCACCCTCCCAAATGCTGGGATTACAGGTGTGTGCCACCACACCTGGCGAGGGTAGGTATTTTTATTTCCAATTCACAAATGGGGAAACTTAAGTCAAAAAGGTGAAGTGACTTGCCCAAAGTTGCTTAATAAATGACAAAGTGAAGTTTTAAACTTGTCTGGTTTCCAAGCCTACGCCCTTTCTGCTCTATCAGGCCCCCAAAATATTGAAGGAATCAAATTGATTGGATGGTTTTTAGAAGGACCAAGTAATTATGTTTTATAATATTATAAGCACAGATTTTAATCATTGAATTGAGTCTCAGCCCAAGTGCTTTGTTTGTCAGAAACTGCTGTTAACCTCCAGTCTGGTTCCAAGGTAGCCATGTATAGCTGAAACCTCTAGTATTTTCTAATTTACTCCCTAGTGAATTTCACACCTGGAGAGGAACAGACTATGGATTTTGCTTAAGGTCAGAGCCTGAGGTGGGAGAGAAGTGGGACTAGTTAGTAGTTCGCCCATGCTGCTCTGTTTTTAGGCTGCTGAAATGGATGTCTTTTTCCTGAAGATTGTTGCAGGCCTGTGTAAGGGGAGACTTCTAGTTTTTCTAACAATTTCTTTTGCTTTGCTTTCCTACATCATTTTTAAGGAGGAACAACATCAAAGGGAACTCTCTCTCCTTCACAAAAGACTAGAAGAACTAGAAACAACACAAAGAAAACAACTAGAGGAACTTGGATCTCCTGGGGAATGATGTTCTTGGCAAAAAGACAGAGAGATCAAAAGGGGTGGAATCACAGACTCAGTAAAATGTGAAGTTTTAACATATGTGGCATTGAGGTACTTCGCTAATGTTTGCCAAAGTGCTTGAATGTGCCTCAAGAAAAAAGGCACCAACTATGACAAGTGAAACATTAAAAGGAACAGTTTTTCACAGATATTTAGAATATATGTTGATGTCCTTTTGAGACTATGAAAATAAATCTATAAAAGAAACTAATTAAAAAATCAAGTTGGGCCAGGGATTTAGCTCAGTGGTTCTGCTGCCTGCCTCACAAGCGCAAGGTCCTGAGTTCGATCCCCAGTACCAAAAAAAAAAAAAGTTATAAAATTGACTTTACTTTGAATTTTTTTGGCATTTTGGCTGAAATATGTCCATTTTGAAAGTTCCTTTTTTCTTATCTTTGAGGTGCTTGACAATAACAGTCAGTAAACACCTTGTGGTTTACTATAAGAGTTATAAACCTATAGTTTTTGGAAAAAAGATGACAATTTAAAGGACAGCATAAAAACACTTAAAGGTATCTATATAAACATTCATTGCAAAAGACTACCTTTTCAAAAAACTGTGTGCACATAATTTATTAAAGAGCTTAATAAATATTTTTCTATCTAATGTTTTGTGTTTAATTTCATTTTGGCCAAACAACATAGTGCAGATTTAGCAGTTTAGAAGATTTCACTGATTTTGGCTTTTCTGAGTTGGAATTAGCAGAAAATTAAATCCCATGGCTATTTTAAAAAGGGGTACTGATGGAGGAACCCAGTGAGTCCCTCTGGAAGTATTGGTATTTGTTTCCCACTCTTTTGGATCTACCCAAATGATGACATTTTATTTTTTTGTGTGTCTCTTAAGTATGCCATCATTTACTTTGTTTTTCACTGCACAGCCGTTGGAAGCTTTTTTGTAACATCTTTTTGAGAAATTCTGCTGGAATAATTTCATGTCAACCAAGCAAAGCATTATCCAGAAGACATCACAGTCAGAAGTCCAAGTCCATAGTGGAGGACAGGAATGCAGTTGAGCAGCCCTTGGCATCATTTACCAAGAAACTAGGTTCACTTACCGCATAATGGAGCTGCTTATTCATGTAGCGCATACAGTGACCCCTTGTTTCTGAAAATTAATTTCTATAGCACCACTTAGAATGAAAAACCTATTATAACTAGAAACTCAGGGGGAAACAAAAGACCAACAGTCCCCAGTTACATCAAAATGTTTATTTTTGGATATAGACATTTAAAACATTCATCTCCAAGAACAGTTTCAATCAGGTATACAATAAGAAATAGACTTTAAATCCTAATACAGAAAAGGTAACAGAATTAATTTTTAAATGCTGCTGTAGACACTACTGTTAGAAAAAAAATTTATAAATGAATTGTTTTGCACCAAAAAATATGCAAAGGAACTTGAAAATAGATACTGTTTGCCATTTGTTTCTCTAGTTGCTGTTTATATAGACCCAGTGACTGATTGTCTTCAGCACACATCTAATTTGGCCATTTACTGCATTTGGCTAATGTGATCCAAAACATGATCTAGATAGTGCTTTTCACTGGAGGATTGACAAACACGCTACATACATTAGTGAATCTTCACACCACCTCGGTGAGGTAGGTTAGAAATATACAGAAATTGAGGCACGAAGAGGTAAGTGACTTGCCCAAAGTTCCTAACAGCACAGTCCTTGGAAGGGGAGGTCCCTCTCCACACAGGACTCTTGTGCCAGAGAGCTGGACAGGGACACCCTCGTGTAGCATTCGGGAAATACTTAGATAAAGCCTAGCTGGTCCTTTTAGCTCACTGTACCCTAGAGAAGGGGAAGTCTTTTGGGCAACTCTCCTACCCTTGGCTCTCAACCCTCCTGTAACTGTTCTCTTTTGAATGCCTTCCTTCACCTCTTTGAAGACTGTAGCAGCTTTGGATGGGGACAAGACCTCTCACTTTATTCTTAAAAGTAACCTATTTGGTAGTATTTTTGAGATGTGTCCATTGGACAGACAGTGGTCAAAAGCAACAGGATTGGGACAGTGCCTAGCAGGGCAGTCACTGCTTCTTTCTCTGAACCGTTTGCTGAGGTGTTACCTCTCTCACTCCTCACCAGATATTAAGGACCAGAAAAGAACTGCATTTCCCTAAGACAAATTCACATTTCAGTTCTGATATTCCGTAGGGTGTTGGTAAATGGTTTTAAGGAATGTGTGATCAATGTTTTATTCACTACCTGAATTTTTTTTTCCTAGATCTGGGACTTAGAGCACCAAGGGTAAAAGGTGCCTGCCACAAGGAAAGCTTGAGAGTTGCCAATTACACATTTTATTTGTGGTTTAATAGAAGGAAAACACAGTGGTATTAAAATTGGTCATGAGCAGCAAAAATTCAGGAATAAAAAACCCAGCAATAAAAAGACTACAGTATAACTGGATAGGGAGTTCTTTAAAAAAAAAAGGCATGAATGAGTATTTAAAATTCTTTCTCCTGTAAGGAATAATTTCCAAAAGTACATAGTAAGACTAAGATACCAAGTTGTTTACTAATATTTTTCAGGCCTTGGGCCTCAAATATATATTTATTTATATATAATACTCCAGTGTGAACAGCAATTTGATGAAATGTAAAATGTATCTTTTTTTAAAATCACACACAGGTATTTATAACCACAGGGTTCACCAGAAATCTAAAGCAAGGAGCCACTAGTATAGAAATGTAGGATTAGAGTGACTTACACTTTCACAGATAGTTCTGATCAAAGGTTTTTAAACAAAAATAGTATTTTTTTACAATACCCAACATGTCCACCATCAAATACATTTAGTATGAAAAGATAAATAAAAAAGGAACATACATTAGGACAAAGTGTCTGGGTAAACCACTGTCGCATTTCAGTAAAGCCCACTCACTCTCCTTGCTTTAGAGCTCCTGGATGAAAAATGGAGGTGAGCTGGATGGAGTGCAGTTGGCGACCACTGAGAAACACGAGCCCTTTCAACAATGTTGCAACACTGTTAGTTTTTGGTTTAAACACACACACGCTCACAAATGCTAAGTGTACACACTACCAAATTCTGCGGTCAACTTTTCCAAGAACTACTGGGGAAAGTTTCAATGCTGCAAATCCTCGAGGTTGCCCTAACACCTCCACCTTGTTTCCAAGTGACTCATTTCACCTTTTGTTTTGAGCACTGGCAATATCCCTTTTTCTGCAGAGGTGCAGTGTAGTTACAAGTGCTATACAGCTGTAGTTTTCCAACAAAACCACTTAGATATCATTGTGCTTAAGTGGAGACTGTCATTACAATACTGACACTTGCTTTCTGGCCCTGTATTCTCTGTAAACAAGGAGGCTGTTTGCAACAACCACTTCAACTCTATTTACAGAAGGGTTCCCACAGTATACGCACAGGCACAGTGGTCGATATGCTTACTAAAAGCTGTGCATGTGCCTTGGTCTGTTAAAAAGACAGTGCTCAAAGTGGAACCTTTGTGCAAACCTAAAAAATTAACGACACAGAGTAGCTCAAGCAGCCATTTTGCTCCCAAGTCGTCTGAAGAATTTTGCCACGTTAAGCCAAGCCCCAGAGTGCTTATATCCACTTGCATTTCTTCTTTTCATCAAATAAGACTTTAACATGCAAGAGTTGTTTCTGAGCTTCTTCCAGCCCTCGTTCTCTTTCTAGTTTATTTAGAATCTGTTGACAATTAGAACAGTTATTTTAGATATTGGGGTTTTAGTATTATAGTTCTGTTTTTGTTTTGTTTTTTAATCCTGATGCTGTGAGTGGTAAAATCTGTATGAAACAGATGCCAACATTGTCTTCAATCATTTACATACTCACTTTGCAAGTTGTTTTGCTAAGTCATTGTCACAGGATCAACAACACTTCGGTTTAAAATAGAAGGCCTCAAGAAATACCAACTATTTCCTTACAACTATGGGGCCAGACTTCCAAGGCCCTGGTTTATGCATTATGTCACAGCCATTCCAAGCACAGCAAGCATTCCTGGGCAGCCAACATGCAGGCAAGTGTTTCTCCTTAAATGCAGCAGGCAGGGGCATCCTCCTGAGAGCCAAGTACTCCCCCCACCACCGCTTGGACAGTGTAGTCCCTTCTGTCCCCTCCCTTCCCTCCACAGTGCTTCCCTTCTCCCCTTCTCACCCTTGGAAAGAGGGATGCTTATCATGTTTAAGGAACTCATTGCCTCTACCCTACCTTAGCTCTTCACTTGATCTTCAAGTAGCAAATGGAAATGGTGAGCTATTCTCACCATTGACATGGATAGCCTGGCCCAGCATGACAGAGTGGGGGGAATCAGGGAAGGGGGAATTAACATATATTTGGAAACAACGCATCCAGGTTAAGGAGAATTAATCATAAAGGAGAATCGTAGTTCATTACTATGGTTGTAAAAAGCCTGAATTAAAACAGTTGTTATTGAAATAGTTGCTTATGTTAGAAATATGTCATAATTTCATATAACTACTGAATACAGAATCTAGGCTTAGCTTTCATTTTTAGCAGACTACAATCAAGCCTAAGCTGGCCCCCTTGAACAAGGCCACAACTTAGTCATCAGAATTAACTTGAGTCGGTGTGGCTGTAGGTCCCATGAACTCAAATGTAAATGCAGGCTGGTCCAGAGGTGGGCGCATGATTTAAAGACAAGAGGGGCAGCTGTGTGCAGGGTCTGGCTTGGTCCCAAGACCCCCACCTCAGACAGGCTTCCTGGCCTCCCTTTCTGGCTGTTTGGGATGCCAGAGCTGTCCTGAGACCTACAGAATCCTACAGCCAAATCCTTGTGACTGATTCATAGATTAAAAAGAAGATGTTAAATAAAATCGTACCTCATCAAAATATTTTACGATGTATTTGTAGATTTCTGTCAAGGCCACTTCTTCATTAAATTCATTTTCGTGTTTCTAAGAAAAAGAAAAGCTTATTGAGAGACAAATGATTTTTTAAAACAGTAACCAAATAGAAGCTTATTTCCGGTTTTGAATGATACCTTAGATTCCTGAGTTAAGAATTCTTCCATTTCTAAAGATGACAATGGAGGCAAATCCCTGATTGCTTTATAATAAGATTTTACTTCCTCTTTGTAGGTTGGGATATCCTTGGCATAGAGAAGCTTATTAGTTGGTGCTTCCTGAAAAAAATAAAAATAAAAAAGCAACCATACCACACATGTAAAAATCCATGGAGAATTTCTCTCAGCACAGTGTAGCTGAACCTCTACCACCAGCATTACCTCCTGCTAAAAAGGCTTCATGCAGGAGGCCTCCATAGATGGTGACGGAGTGACTGACTGCCATCTAGATAGTTCTGGTGAGTCACTGTTCTTTTCGGGCGGATTTAATGCTAATATATTCTGCCTCCCTCTCATAAAAGAACTAAATTATTATTTTTGCATGATTTTGAGTTACTGTAACAATGGAACTTATTTCAATCATAATTCATTACTAATGGTCGTAAAAAGCCTGAATTAAAACATTTGCTCTCACCCTCACCCACCAGTGAATTTGGCATTTATAAAAGACTTGATTGTAGGTCTGATTGAGCCTTTTATAGAACTATGAAACTGGTAAGTGACTGGCAGTGGCAGATTTTCCAGCTCGCCCCTCTTACTTCAGTAGATTATAAAGATCTTCCAGTTTCCTCAAGGAAGCGTATGGTTGTTAGTATTGGTGGCTCTGATGTCTGAATTTACCAAGGTTCCCTGGCATTTTTAATGGTTTTATGTAATTATAATAGTGATAATATTTAAAGCACAATTAAGTAGAGATTTTATATTAAGAAATTTTTTTTTTTTTTTTGGTACTGGGGATCGAACTTGGGTCCTTGCGCTTTCGAAGCAGGCGCCGGAACCGCTGAGCTAAATCCCCGGCCCTAAGAAATCTTTTTTACAAAATTTTAAAAAATTCTCCTCAAAGAAGATAGGTGAGTTAATGCTCCAGTGCATTTTGCAGAATCCAGTGGCTGAATGAGTGGCCTGATGAATCATTCTTAAGGATGCCTTGATTGAGATAATACTGAGATTTTCTTGTCAAGTTCAAGTAGAACTCACAAATAATGTGATCATTCATTCATTCAGACAAGATGGGGTGCATTCAGGGTGGTATGGCGGTAGATCATTCAATAAACATTTAGCCAGGTAAATAAACATTTAGGCAGACATTGATTGTACAAAGATGAAGACGATTGTTACTTGCCCTTGAGAAGCTCACAATCTAATGCGAAGACAAATCTACAGTGTTAACTGTGATATAAGTAGTTAGGCTATAAACAGAAAAGGCTATAGAGTTGGACAAATTAGAGTTTATACCTACTGTGACCTCTGGTGAGACTTATAACCTCAGGACACCAATTCCTCATCTACGAAACGAGGGTCACAATAACTACCTGTGTGGTACTTGTGCGGAGACATACTAAGAACCTGGTAAGTAATCCAAAAATGACTATTTTCCCTATGAATAAACAAACATGCAAGTGTTTTCCAGTGTGCTGTGCTAAGACAAACCTTATCAGTCAAATGAAGACAGCCTTGTGGGAAACGCATTGGAGAAAGTTCACACAGGAGGAAGATAGACTGATCTGAGTCCCCTACAGTTTCTGGTACACGTCAGGAAACTGTGTGTTGAATGAATGGTTTGTGAATGAATGAATGAATGAATGAGCGAGCAGGATTTTACTAGACACAAGGGTCGTGAGCCTGGAAAGACCTGAGGGAAGGGAGGTGGACACGAGCTCTTGGTGTGTTTGGGGAAAGCATGCAGAGTGTGCCAATAAATGATGAGGCCGAAAAGAGGCCTGAAGCCTCGGAAAGGAGCACTTGGCACTGTAAAGACAGCAGCCGGGAGGTTACGGAAAATACTCTCAATTCTTTAAGCAGGAGGCTGCGAGGTCAGACTGATGTTTTAGAAAGATAACCTGAGACACAGTGAAAAGGGAAAGTCCAGGGCAAGGCCAGACACAGGTCAGGAGGCAGATATTATCCCAGCAGGGAGGGAGTGGAGGAGAAGGGAAAGGCGTGAGAGGAAGGGGCGGGGACTTTTACAGCCGGAAGGAAGTGGTAACCAACGGACTGAGGATAGAGGCTGGAAGGAGAGAGGAAGGAGCATCAAAGATAATGCTGAGGATTCCACCTTGAGAGCAGGCAACAGGAAGGGAGACAAATGTAAAAGCCAGTTTGTTTTGCAGGAAGAGTGTCGACAAAGAGTTGAAAGGTTAGCTCGGTATCTGAGGTACCCATGCGTCAATCAGCGGTCCATTCCTGGTACTATGAAAATCCTCCTACCAAAGAGCCACTTCTCAGCTTTCAGAGATTTTTCTGAAATCCATTAGGTACAGATACTGCTCAGTTTAATTTATTTTGGAGTGCTTAGAAAAGACCAAAATGTCTTTTTCAAAGCTTGCTCTGTATTTTTATCTTTCCTTGCTTTCTTGGGGTTTTTTTAATCAGCAAAGAAAACCATAGGAAAGCAATGTTCATGACTTGATTATAAACTGACAAATTGGTATTGTTAGAAGTCTCAGGCAAGGTTTTCTTGCCCATAAGCTGTTTGTTATACTGAAATAGACTTTTTACAATATATTCCGATGGAATTGACTTGGGCAAATATTAATAGTTTCATATTTGGGTTAGTCTATCAGTGTCCTTTGAATGTTTTTCTAAGAAACAAGGAAAATGTATACTTTGTGGTATTTTTTCAGAGGTGCAATTCTACAATAGGGTGGGGCTAATTATTTTGGTTTTTACTTTCTGAACAAGGTTAAAAATAAACATGAATGGGAGCTGGGTATGGTAGTGCATGTCTGTAATCCCAGCAACAAGAGGCTGAGGTAGGAGGATTGCCGTGGGTTCAAGGCCAGCCTGTGCTACATAGGGAGTTTATGGCCAGGCTGAACTACATAGCAAGGCTCTGTCTCAAAAAAATGAAAAAGGAAAAAAAAAATTGATAAAAAATTAAAGTAAATTTAGATTTAAAGAAAAGCAAATGTACAGTGACCATGAGCAACTATTTCTTTTCAGCTGGTGTGGTTTAGGCCAACTGTCTGTTATGTGAATGTTCATAGGACATAGTGCTTTGGACTCATCAGTTTGTGTGCAGAAACTGCAGAATGGGGCCTTACCTTCCCTAGCTGTTGCTCGGTGAGAGAAAAGGCGTCCATGAATGCCTGGGCAATCACTGACAAACAGCCGTCTATGTGTGGTGTCTTCTTAATGTCAAAGACAAACTGAGGGTTCTTCAGGATGTTGACCCAAAAGCGAAGAGGAAGGCTGTTCAAAGAGAATACGCTCTTCTCAAACAGGGCTATTCACAGGTGGCCAGTCATCTGCTTACCAGTTTGTAAACAGGGGTCTACATCCTTATTGAATACACAAATCTGCTTAGCCAAACTACCAATCAATAGATGCCACAGCACTCAGAAGAGAAAGGGTTAAATGCAGCCATGGGAAGGCAGGAGGGGGCTGAGAGGGGCCATGGTCCAGGCAAGAGGTTTCTCTACACAGTTGCTCACTCGGCGGTCAGCAGGGAGAAACTCTCGCTGAGCTCTCTCAGGCCTGAGCTCGCCCCTGCCGTGTGGCAGCCTGGTCTCGGCCACACCATCTCCCTGGGCTCTCCAGCCACAGCTCCTGACAGGTTATCCTCAGTTCCGGGAGCCTCTGGGCACCGTGTCCTGAAGCTCGCTACCCTCCCTCGCACTTTCTCCTCTGCACCTTCACTCCCTCCTAATGCCCTCCAGTGGTCAGGCCCGATGTGCTGTCTGTCTGCACCAACTAGAGCACAAACTCTGTGGGGACGGGGGTTTGTCTGTCTGGTTCACTGCTGGTGCATGGAAGGATCTCAGATGCACACTTGAATACGAATTTGGGAATCCTTCAAAGTCCTTCTAGTATCTCCTTTTCAGCTCTGGCCTAGCTCAGCACCTCCACCACATGGCAGCTACCCCTGGCAGATGCCACAGTGTCCACCGCAGAATGGTGGCCTGCAGTGCCGGGCCGGGTGTGGCAGCAACAGGGCGGGGGGCCAGGAGTGGGCCTGAGCAGAGCGTGGGGATCCAGCCGGATTCCTGGGAGAGGTCTGGACCTAGAGCTCTGCCACTTCGGCTTTTAAAGCTTCTGTAAAATGGTGTGGCTGGCCCCGGTGCTTGGGGACGCCTGAGCCTGCCACACGAGTCCTACTGCATCGTAACTCACTGAGCGCCAGCATAGCCTGTTTCAAATAGAGGTAATGAACCATGCTTCTTTTCTGAAGAAAAAGTCGTAAGAAATCTGGATGCCCTGCCTTAAGGTAAAATGTTAAAACACAAAAAAAGCCAGTACAAACCTTTGACTAATTCTCCTGGTACTTGAGTACTGCATTTGATAAAAGCAGGAATTTAGGCACACAGCTTGAAAACTGCAAAGTAACTGATTATTTTTGGGACAAATAAGAGTTTTTCCTAATGGAAAAATTGTGTGATAAAACCACAAAATATTAACTTTTCATCTTTTGCTGCTCTAACATTCTAGACAAAGTCTTTTTCATGCATTAGAGATAGCAGTTTGTTTATTTTTACCCTAAACAATAGGATCCTCTGCATAGCAGTGATTTCATGTATTGTTTACAAATAGAAACATGGCAAGAAACTACTTCGACATGATAGCTTAACCAACCTGGCCAAAGACTTTGTTACAGAGATAAATGAACCCTTCTGTAACTGTCCATGCCCTCCTTTTAGTTAATATTTCTGTCCTACATTCTAGAAAACAGTCAATAATCGCCCACATTCCCACCTGTTTGTTTTCCAAATATGTACGACATCAGGATCTGTGATTTTTTTGTTTTCAGCCTGGGCATCCAGAAAGTCAAAAAAGTATTTTATAGCAAATGGGGCTCTGCTGTTGGGCAAACTCCAAATGCTTCTGAAAAGTTTTTCAAGCACAGAGTGAATTGCTACCTGCAAGACAAAGAGCATGAGAGTTAGGATATTAAAAAATATGGCAGTGGCTTTGAAAACAGAACAAAACACCAAACCTAAGTTCAGAGAAAATGATGTGCCTGCAGAGAAAAAGAAACTAAAAAGAAAATGTAAAATCATCAAAGGAGGCCAACACTCACAGTAAGGGACAAAGGTCCTGAACATCCATGCCCAGGTTTGGGTTTGGTTCATAAGCTTCTTGCTTATGATTTCTTAGCATCATAAATAAAGAAGGGAGGATTTCTTAGCAATCTCTAGCAACTTACCCGTCAGTTGCAGGCTTGATACAGAAACCAATGAGCCAGGGATATTTGGCTTTCGTAAGTCATGTTCAGTCTGGAAAACCCAAGCAGTATTGCCCTGTTCTCAGGATTTCTCCTGTTGCCTGTATTTCCATCAGAGGGTTTTACCGTGTGCTTTCCAAAGCATTTGCGTAGTTTACAGAAACAAATGGCTGAGCTCTCTGGGAAAGCTGAAAATATCAAAAGGCCCAGGCTGTCCTCTGCCCACTAAACAAATCTCCTAAGCCCTAAGCAGATTCTCTCCGTCCATAATCTAAGAAGCATGCCCAGCAAGTGATAGGGTCAGGTTAGACAGCATTTATTCTGCTAGTCATTTCAGGAGGAAAAATCACCACAGACTTCTCTTAATCCCATTAAAAGGCAGATAAAGTAAAATTTGCTCTTGATTTGGTATTCCACTGGCTTTCACATCTGACACCTTTTATATGTAAACAGAATTCCTAATGAAAAAAAATTTTAAGCCAGTAAGACTTACTAGGTTTATAGTCACTGACACCCCTTCATTTTATTTGTAATTCAAAGGAGTTTTATTGCTTATCTATAATAACAAGTAAACAAAAAGGAATAATTATGCTGTCAACCTAAACACAATATCGAGATGGTGGGTAAAAGAACTTGGAACAGTATTAAAATTCCTGATTGAAGATGCTATGGTAGCAATTTGTAAAGTACTGTTATCTTTACAGTTTATTAAAAAAAAAGAAGAAAAGGGGATAGGAAGTGTTTACAATTTAAACTTTCAATTTGCTATGCTGGAAGGCACAGGGGATTTGTACCATTTTCACACTTCAGTGGAAATTAAGTGAAACACATCATACACCCCCAAGGCACCCATGAAAGTGCTCCCAGAACAGTAAGTGTACCTTGGTTGACAACAGCTTTGTCAAATACATTTCTTTTACTTTGAACTTGTGTTTCCCTCGATGTCTCTTTCCTTGCACATCTTGGAAGGCTTCTGAATCTGGTAAAATCTAAAAAGAAAACAGAGTGGCAGCGTTAACCAAGGTGACCATTCATGCTCCTGAAGGCATGCGATTCAGCAACGAGCACAAGAAAGCCTCAACTCACCAAATGGCAGTGGTCATCGGTGTATTCCACATCTGAGTGCCAGAGAAAGAGGGGGAGAAAACAGTCCATTAACAAACCAACCATGGGCTAACTGGCCTTTTCCTGAAAAGCCCGCTTGTGCTGCAAACCCAAGAGCCCTTCTGCTGGAGTCCTCTGTGGTTCACCTTTCCTGCCACCATCAGGGTGAGGGTGCCTGGACCAGGGACAGGAGCTGGAAGCAGCTTCTGTGTCCTCTTGGAGGTGTTCAGACAGGCTGATCGGCCACCTGCTGCGGAGGGGTGGGAGGGCTCAAGCCTGTCACTCATAAATACACCTGTAGCACTGCTATGTGTCACGGGTGGCCAGGTGTTAAGTACAGCAAAGAGTAAGACGACCTCATCCCACCGTAATGGGATGCTCGTTCCAGCCCACGTTCCAGCCCACGAGAGACAGCAAACTACTAATTACACAGTTAATTACTTAATCATAATTGTGGTAAGGATTATGAAGAAGATATATGTGAAGGAAGTACCTAACAAGGTACCACCCTGAGTCTGGAAGGTTTCTTTGAAGAAGGGAGGTTGGAGCTGAACCTAAATGGCTGGCTGAAGGGGGAGGCCCCACGGGAAAGGCACGCCGCCCTTTCTAGGATCATAAGGGCTGGGCATGGTGGCGCACGCCTGTAACCCCAGCACTCAGGAGTCTGAGGCAGAAGGATCACTGCATGTTCGAGGCCAGCCTGGGCTACACAGTGACTTCAAGGCCAGCCTCAACTACATAGCAAGAGCTCAAAAAAACAAGAAGAAAGAGGAGGAGGTGGTGGAGGAAGAGGAGGAAGAACATGCAATGGAGCTCGCAAAGAGGAGGAAGAAATGCTCAGGAGAAAGGTAGCTGTAAGGGGAAAGGGAGTAGAAGGTGGGAGAAAAACAGACTAAGACACTGGGGCATTTGAAAATGAGAGACTAGAATATCTTGAAATGCTAATGGGGAAAAAATAGCAGGCAAGAGGAGAGAAAACAGCCCATTTACAAAAGCCCTGAGGGCCAGTAGGTGAGGGTGTAGGAGTGCGCAGGTGGTCAGACAGGATGGAGGGGTCTGAAGCACGGGACAGAGCTGGGCCCTGGGTAGGAGGCAGGGGAAGGGAGAAGTAGGACGGCAGAGGCAGGAGGTTGGGTGCTGGCTGCTGGGTGCTGGGTGCTGAGGGAGTCAGGATCCCCACGCGCTCTGTGCTGTGCAGAGGGAAGTCATCTCATCTGTTGACAGCGGGGAGTGCTGTGGGTCAGGGCTTGACAAGGAAGACGCAGAGAACACAGAAGAGAGTTCCTGGGGAAACCTAGTGGGAGTGGGATGCCTTGAGGTCCCCGGTCACCAGGAAGTCCTAGTGACACCAACTTCCGCTGAGTGCCTTCTCCTGTGGCTGTCTGGATATAGGTTCAGAAGAGCTAAGAAGAGCCGGATTAAGCACTGCTGGGCTTCTGACCCAGGCGCTGGTGCTAGGTCTGGGGGGTGAACCTGGAGTATGAGCAGGAAGGTAATCAGTGACGGGCTCAGCCAGATTCAGCAGGGAGGAAGCAGAAATGTCGACCGACTGGAGCCCCACGAAGAGCTCCACACCTCAGATTCTACTCCTCAATCCCCAAACAGCAGGCTCTTCAAGAGGCCTAATCTTTGAGACCTAAAAATCACAACTCTTCCCCTTATCACAACGTAAGGGTGCCATCCCCCTCCACAGTGACAGCCACTTTCCGTGAGGTAGCTTCACTGTACCCTGATGTAGTGATGGGAGGTGAGGCCCCAGGGGGGTCTACCAAGAGCTACCGAATGATCTTCCTCCCTCAGGAGTCCCGCAGTCCCTGTTTGCACTGACCAGATGCTGGGACCCACAAGCTCCTCCTACCAGGAGTCAGGAAGCCCTAGCCCCGGCCAGGGAGAGGCCCGGAACCCTCATGGGGCTGAGGGCTGACCGCCTTTGCTGGGATATCATTTCTCCAGAGGCAATCCTGGAGTATGACCTAGAGATTTTCTCAAGGCATTGTGACCATGTTTTCCGGCCGTCAGGGAAGTACACAAGGACTTTGCAGACTGGTCTGTTAACTTTCCCATCAAAGCTTCCTCTTCAGTTTCTCTCCACCTTCGGGGAAGTTTGCAAGTGCTGCCGCACTGGTAACAGGACTTTCTACAGGGATTATCTCAGTTGTGCAGCACTCAGAGGGCCATGTGATTATCTGTCAACTTCCTTCTCAGTTTCCCAGGAGGGTCTCCTCAGTGCTCCCCACCCCACTGAGGAGCTGGGCAAGAGCTTTGAGGGCCGAGACTCAGCCCTGAGTTCAGAGATGTTAACAAACAGCAACTTCCTTTGTGCGGAGCTGGCAGGGCCAACCACAATTTACAGTTTCCTTTCTTTCTTCTTTTTTTTTTTTTATTTTTTGGTACCGGGGATCGAACTTGGGTCCTTGCACCTGTGGGACAGGCAGCAGAACCACTGAGCTAAATCCCCGGCCCCCTTTCTTTCTTCTTGCAGGGCCCACATTCTGAGGACTAGAAACAGATCGAACCAGCTTTTCTCAGCTTTCAGAGAATTACGTAGCAACAGCTCAATCTCACTTTTGTGACAGTACATCTGAGGGAGGCAAAAAGCAATACTTCATAAAGCTAGGTGAGAACAAAAGGTTAACAATATTATATTGGTTACCTGAAGTAAAATTTGCTATCTTCTTAAAGACTTTTATAGTGGATCCATTTGATATCTGAAAGCAAAGATAAAAAATATATGAGTTTTCAAAATTTAATGTATTTCTCAGCTTCACCCAAGAATTAGATGGCTGGATGGATCCTATATTCTCTAACTTATTAAATCAAATATTTATCAAGAGCTACCATGCTCTGGGCACAGTGCTGGAGGCTGGACTCTCTAGAATGAGGATCAAAGCATGGTCCCTGCCCTCACAGGGCTCACAGTCCCCTGGGAGAGGCAGACAGGCAATGAGGTATGGTGAGCTCAGGGCTGAGAAGGTGGTGGCCAATGCAGTATGGAATGGGGCCAGGCTGAGAAGAGGGGAAGACTAAGCCCTGGGTGTTGGTCAAGGTGGACTGTCACCTTGATTGGCTGGGTAGCTGTCCAGGGGACTCAAGGAGCACACTTCCTGGATGTGTCTGGGTCGGTCATGGAGGAGTGACCTTGAGGTATTTTACCTGGTCCCCTCTTGCTTTGGCACTGTTCCCCTGCTTTGCTTCTCAGCCGCCATGAACTAAACAGCTCCATTCAACACACCCATGCTCTGCCATGATGTTTCTGCCTTGGGGCCAGCCAACCATGAACTGACTCCCCTTAAAATGTGAGCCAGATTATACCTTTCCTCCTTGAAGTAGTGGGTGTTGGGTATTGTGTCCTGCAATAGGAAAGCTGACTAATACACCATGTCAGGCCACTCCCTCACTGATCAGGAGAGGCCTGGGCCAATTTCATTTTTTGAGATTCCTACGTGTTATGGGTTGAACGTTTATGCTCTTTCAAATTCACATGCTGATATCCTACTCCCAATATGTTGACATAGAACATGGGGAGCCTATGGGAGGTAATAAACTCATGTGGGCGGAGCCCTCATGAGTGGGATTAGCACCCTTATAAGAAGAGACACCAGAGCTTGTTCTCACTTTCTGCTCTCTACCTCATGAGGACCCAGTGAGCAGATGTGCTTGCTCCCTGCAAGCCAGGAGGATGCGTTCACCAGACTCTGGGTCTCTCGCACCTTGATCATGGACATGCAGACATCAGGACTGTGAGAAATAAATGTTCATGGTCTAAGCTACCTGGTTGATTACAGCAGCCTGAACTAAGATACTAGTATATTAAGAAATGAGTTGGGGGCTGGGGATTTACCTCAGTGGTGCTGCGCCTGTCTTGCAAGCACAAGGTTCCAAGTTCGATCCCCAGTACCCCCCACAAAAAGAAATGAGTGTGGAAGCAGCATTTCAAAAACTGGTGTTTGAAGCTGGTAACTATGCTATGACAGAACATTTTCACTTCTAGGTCTATAACCTACAGAAATAAGTACACATTTTCATGGCAAACTATTTATAACTACCCCATATGGGAACCAACCCAAACATCCATCGTGTTAGAATGAATAAATAATCTGAGGACTATTCATATAACAGATTATGAAAAAACAAAAAATAAGCAAACTACTGCTGTGTGCATGTGGGTGAATCTCCCAGTCATAATGTTGAGTAAAAGAAATCCAACATGAAAGAAAGCATTCTACATGATTCTGTTTGCATAAAGCTAAAAAATACACCCAAGTCAAAATTATGATATTAGATATTTGGAGAAGAAAGAGGGGTTAATAATTAGGAGAGGCCATCAGAGGGCTTCTATTTCTTGACCTGGATGCTAGCTAGAGGATGTGCTTGCTCTTGAATTTATCAAGCAAAACACTTAGGATCTGTTTTCTTTTCTGTAAATAATGGCACTTTCAAAAAAGGCTAATCATAAAAATTGCACATACTTCTAAACAAAAACTTAAATTTAACATCCAGGGGAGTGCTTAACATTCACTAGTATTAAGTACAGAGCTGAATGCCCAAGAAAGATCCGTGTATACCTATGTAACCACCATCCACATCAGGAAAGGAAACATTTCAAGGCCCTGAGAACTCTTCCCAGGCAGTAACCACCCAGCCTTACCCACAGAGAATCCCTTCTCTGACTTCCATTCCACTGACCAGTTTTGCCTCTTCTTGAGCATCATATAAATGGGTCACACAGTATGGAATTTGGTATCTAGTTTCTTAGGGTCAATAGAAGGTCTGTGATATTAACTCACGTGGTCCTGCCTACTAACTACAGGTAGTCCTTTTTTATCACTGTGTATTAGCTCATTGTATGAATATACTGCAGGAAACTGCCACCCAATAAAGGAAGTGTGGATGCATACTACAATGGGGGTGAACTTCAGAAATATTATGCTAAGTGAAATGTCTTACAAAGACCATGTGGTGTATGATCCCATCCCCAAACATGCCCAGAACAGGCACATTTGTACAGACAGAAAGTAGATTACTGGCTGCCTAAAGCAGGGTGGAGGAAATAAGAAATGACTGCTAATGAGTACAAGGTTTCTTTCTGGGCTGATGAAAATGTTCTAAAATTAGATGGTGGTGTTGGTTGCACGGCTCTGTAAATTTACCTAAAACCACTGAATTCTGCACTTCAAACAAGTGAGCTTTAAGGTATACAAATAATTATATCTCAGTAGAACTTTTACTTCTTTCTTTTTTTCTTTTTTTAGTATTGAGGGATCGAACTCGGGTCCTTGCGCTTTCGAGGCAGGCAGCAGAACCACTGAGCTAAATCCCCGGCCCTCAGTGGAACTTTTAAAAGTTGCTGCAGATTTTATATGTACACATTAAAAATTAAACACTGTTATCACACTGACGCGCTGATGCGGTGCCTGTGTATAGCCACTCCTGGCAATGAAGCCAAGGGTTCTCACCTGAGGCCTTCTGGGACTGCACAACCCAGGGCTAATGGCCCTCCAGTGCCTCTGCCCCTTACCCTGATGGGCCCTGGGAAATAAGCGGGTGCAGAAGTGACTGTGGCAGAGGAGACACAGATGGCAAGAGGCCGAGGGCAGGCCTGGCTCCTCAGCAGGACCATCTACAAGCTCCTCAGACAGGCAGAGGAGTGCTGCTGGACAGAGGCAGGCTGGGGAAACGCAGATCCCCAGCTCTGTCCTGGGGCTGTGGCTGGAAATGAACTATGTCATTTCTGAACATTATCAGCTAAGTGATTTTTCCCTCCACTCCCAAACCCCAAGGCTGTTTTCTAATACTAATTTAGACCTGGGCTTCCCCAGTTGGGGAAAAAAATGGAGAGACCTCAAATTTCTCCTCTGGCCTGCTGCACACTGGTTATCAAAATGTACAAGGCTGCCTCGCCAGCATGAAAGGCTTAAACCTCATCTCCTTCAGGCTGCACCCACAGCGAGAAGGACACCAAGCAGAGCCAGCACTCGAGAGCCCGCTGAACACCGCTGGCCTCCCAGCTGTGTCCCACCAGCCGCTAAGTGTGGGCAGAGGGCTCCTACCGCTGTTGCTCAGGACATCTTGTGGGAGCCGGGGGTCGGGACGGGCTGGCTGGGGCCAGTGAGGATTCTGAACTCTTCCTGAGCTCTGACTGCTGTTCTTACCAAACATCCTTTCCTTTCCCTTGAGCTATTCATTGTTTTCTGGCTGATTTTTCAGTTCTCCTCCATATTTGATGCAATTAAAGAAAACGCCCTGTGCAGGCGCCCCCTTAGCAATACTCAGACACCGCGTTTATGAGAACGTTTGAACATAGTTACAAAATTCCACCCCACAAAGAGCTGGATAGGCTCGGTTTCTAAGCCAATAAATATCTTTTTATAAAAGGAAGCTGGTGATTCATTCTGGGTAATTGTCAAAGAATGAATCCCAAATGGATCCCGTTGAGTGTTGAGCCAATACTCCGCTACTGTCAGACGCTTTGTTTTGCCAAAAGCGAGCACCCTTCCTCTATAATCACAAACACCACGGATGGGCCTTCCGATAAGGCGTGCTGCCAAAAGTTCAAATGTCTTTTCAAGAGCTGGCAACGACTTGCTGCTGGTGCGGTGCTCAGGCATTAAGATAGCGTAAATGCTGCTTGTACCAAGGAAATTTTACTCGGAAATTATCTTCCAAGAGCCAGTGTAAAGCATTTTATTAGTGGATGGGTTGTGTGTGTGTGAACGTCTTTCTAACGTTCACAGCTGCTCTAGGGCTGGAATATTTCCACCCCATGTGACTCTGTAACACTAATATAATGACAAATATAATTTTACAGATGTTTGCAGGGAAGGGGGCAAAAGTTTCTGCTTTCTATTTTGCACAAGTCCAGCTGCTGCCGAGTTAAGGACAGAAATGCCTTTGTGAAAAGTGTGGAATCCAAGAGGTTAAAAACATGATACTGTTGGTTCCATCTGAGGAGCTCCAAATGCTTCCCTACAAGTAACTCATTAATCGTCCCATCCTCCCGTGAAGCAGGGAACATCCTCTGGGCCCCTACTTTAGGGATGAAAATCAAATTAAATCAAGGAAAGATTAATGTCTCTAGATGGATCTGTGGCAGGAATGTTTCTCCAGCCCAGAGCAGAGTGGGTGCACATGGCAATTTCAAATTAAATTCCTTCCCCTCTCATAGTGTTCCCGGATTCGATGAGAGGAGACGCTGCCCTCTGATGACACCAGCCTGGGCTGGAAAATGGTGGTGAAGACTGGAGACTTTCCTGTCATCAGAACTGGAAGTGGTGACCTCGAGGGGAAAGATGGACTCATCCCAGCCCTTTAAAGCCACTCCTGAGATGAACCTCTGCATGGCAGGATGCTATCTTTATAGTCTAAGTTGGAGATTACCCTATAAAAGTAGAGGCTAAACTTTTATTTAACCTTATAAAACTGTCATTTCTTTAGGTAAAAATGGCCAATGATTGTCAATTTCATGTGGCTCGGCCTAAGAGAAATTAGGTGATTTTAGCTGAGTTTTATGGAAAATGATGAATATGGTCCAAAGATTATGCTACTTTTTCCTTAAAGAAAAAAAGAACTGAAAACACAATAATCCATACAAATTACCACATGGAAACTGCGGTGACTCTCATTCCTGAGGCTGCCTTTCTGCTAAGGCAGTCATATAAGAATACAAAATCCTATTCCACCAGCGTTGCTGCGGCCGCCACCCACCAATACTGCTCTCTCTCAGTCAGCAATGCCTCAACCAGATAAAAGGGTAACTTTTCTCAGGGCCGGAGGCATAACCTTGTTTAGTCCTTCAGGGTAGGGGCGTCAGGACATCTCCGTGGGCTCACACAGCTCCACGCGCACCGGAGCGGAGGATTCCTGTACCACAGCCTGGAGGTGGGGCTCCCTCCCGAGGGAGCTGTGCCTCCAAGAGGTGGTGTGAGATGGGGATCTATAGGCTCTGGGTGTGCAGCTGGGGTGGCGCTGTTGCCTCTGAGGTATCTGAGAGGGTCCTCCCTCCTGCTAAGGGGAACTTCCATTTCCAAGGACTGCTGGCCACAGAGGACATTAAAGTAGATTAGAAACAGAGATCTGTTCTGATAAACTCACAGCCATGAGATTCATCATGAGATTTTAAGAGAAGTGGCCCTTTTGAATTGGACATCAGAGAGTGTTAACTAGCAGGATATTTATTTCTGGCCAGGCTGCTTTGAGGTTGGAAGCAGGGGCTGAAAGCCCAGCAGTAAGCAAGCTTATTCCTCTGGCCCTGAGCAGAGGCAGTTTCCAGAGCGAGCCCTTCTTCACCTGCTTCTCCCCTTGGGGCGTCAATGAGAGGAGCTGTATGACCTTAGGCAAGTTTCCTCACCTCTCTGGGCCTTGGAATGGGAAAAATGACAGTATTCACCTGGTGGAGAGTTAAAGAGCCCAAAGCAGTTGCTATGGCAAAAGCCCCTGAAATAGCCCCTTACAGAAACAGTACACCTGTGTTTGTTAAATATAGCCAGGCATCCAAAGACATTTACACTGCAGCAGCCCTTTAGGAGATGTCCAGTCCTTGTATCTGAGGATCAGAGCCAACACCTGAGCAGAAGGACCACTGACCTTACCCCAAAGACCCTCTGGGACGTTTCTGGGAGCTAAATGTCTCTTGAGTGGTGAATGGGTGCTGCGGGACCACTTCTGCATTAGGACACACCTGTTACAAACCATGTCTCCCAACCACACAGTGGTTCGGCATCTTTTCTACCTCTCAGAACCTCAGAATGGGAGGTAGAGACTGCAGAGGGGACTTCCTGCCCCACAGAACACCTGTCCTGCATCCGTAATGCCACTCCACAGCAGAGTGTGGGTGCTGTAACAGTCCAGTGAGAGGTCACATGGGGTGCAGCGCCACAGTCTCTGGGGCCATGAGCCCCAGGCCACAGACACCCTCACCCCCGCTCCAGAACCAAGCTCGGTCCCCTTTGAAGCAAAGGCGCACCGAGAGCCATAGTCGGCGAGGGAGGTGCTCAGGGAGGGCTTAATGATAGGGGAGGATGCCTCTGGCTTAATACGTTGGTAAAGATATCAGCTCTTAACCCCTTGCCTATACAAGACAGACGAGATGGGAGCCAAAATTCACCCTCCTCCATGTTCATCTGATGGAAAGTGGAGGAATAACAGTAGCCTGAAAGCACAGGGCTGTTTGGACATTAATGGAGCCAAGACGTAGGAACAATGCCAGGCGCTGGCTGCCACTGGTTGTCACCATCCTGGGACATGGCAAGGATGCCATCCAGGAGGTGACAGGGTATCACCAACAATTTGGGGCTCTGGGACTGCATCTGGCCCACAAGATGCTGTATTTTTGCTGTACCCTTGGATCCCTCTAGAAACCTGTTTTTCCTATACACAGATACCGGCTCCCTTCTATTCACTCTACGGATAGAACAGGGCCAGGAGAAACAGACTCACTCTCCAGCAGCAGGGATTTTGTTTAGACGGGAGGAGGAACTGGCCGTCACTAAAGATTAACTTTAAAACCTAACTAATTTGGACTAATTGGAGGGCGGTAAGTCTGAATCACTTAAAACTCTGAATTAGACCCTATTTTTAAATGAAATATAGTTTTTGGCTTTCAAGTGCATATAGTGACTCAAACCGGGGCTCTTTAGTAAATGAATAAGAGTGATAATTAGCATCTTGTCTCTTTGGAGGGAGAAGCAAGTGCTTAAGGAGAAAAATTTTCTTTAATGAGAAGGCAAAAGCAAACTTCAGCCTTGTCAAATTATTCCAAATTTTGAATCTGCAGAGGTGCAGGCAGCAGAAGGTGGTGGCGGTGCTTTTTGGGGATCGGGCATTTAAAATCAGGGCTTGAGATGATCCAGTCATAGGAGCCCAGTCCTGGTGACCTCCCTGGTTCCCTTCAAGCTCTCTGCATTTATTTGCCTTGTGACTTAGCTTTTTAAATATAAGGAGAATCCTCTAAACCCTCAGGTCCTAGTCTTGCCATCTATCACCACCACGAAGCAATGCTGGGGTGGCGGCCAATAAATCATTGGGACAAGAAGGGACTACAGGCCGGATTAATTTCATTATCATCCTTACACAGATAGGTGTCTGGCACGGCCAGTGTCTCCGTGAAGAGTGATGTCCTCTCTCTCCCGACAGGCCCTCCGAGCCTGGCAGACAGCTGTGGCGAGGCTGTTTTCCCCGCCAGAGTGACCTGTCCTGCTTTCCCTCCTGATGCCACTGACTGGGTGCCCTCCTTCATGGGGGCTGCTCCACGCTGCAAGGTCATAGGGTTGAATGCCAAGATGGCGCAGGAGGCTCCCTGAGTGAGGCGGGCACCAAAGGGGGATGTTGGTGCTGAGCCCCTTCCGGACACCCAGACAAGCTTGCCACCCAGACACGGGGAGAGGAGGAGAAGCTCTGCAACCCTGAAATTCTCAGCAATGCTGCTGTCAGCCCGAGGGAGCACTTCCACTCCACCCCAGAGTCCTGCCTGATTCAGACCCACCTCCTGGGGCTTCCAAGCATGAAGGTGGGCTGTTTCTCCTCTGTCATCCTCATCTCTGGAAAAGCACCTGCTGCTCCCTCCCTCACTGCTGAGCCCGAGTCCATCTCAGAGCCACCGCCTGGTCTCAGCAGCATCATTCCTCACCTGAAATGTTTGCACAGCCTCCCTCAGCAAGTGTTCTCAGACAATGAGTTGCCCTACTTCCTTCCGGGCCTGCACCTGTTCGATGCACGCCTCATGCCCACCACAATCACTTTCTGAAAGGCAAATCTCCCTGCTTAAGGCCTTCTAATGGCTTCTTACTCTTCTTGGGGTGTGATGCAAACCCCTATGAAGTTGGACAGGCCCCGTGGGAGCTGCATTTCCCCCGCCCTCCCTTCTCTGCCCTTCCTCTGTGAGAAGCACTGCTGGCTAAGCTGAGCCCGGAACCTCTGTGTACCCATTTGTAAAGTGGGGTTCCTAATTCACAGGGCTGCCGAGGGACAGAATGAGCCAGAACAAAGAGAAATGCTCAAGTCTGCACCTGACCTAGAACGAGAGTCCCCTGAGCTCTACTGGCTTCACTGCTGCCCAGGCCCCTCCTCAAGTTCGGTCCAGTTCAGAAGTCACCCTGGCAAACCCGCACCTCCCTTCTCTGCTGGATGCGCTGGCGCCCTATCCCACCTGACTAAATTCTCTTCCTTCCTTAGGTGCCCGACTCCTGGCCATCCGGCCACAGCTCCGTCCATTGCAAAGTGCTCCTGGGAGGCGGGTCTTGCCCTGCCTCCTCCATCCCCGACCCTGGTCTCTGCTCCTCATCCACAGATCCCCAGCTCCCAGCACAGAGCCCAGCAAAGACCTGGATACCACTCTGGGCAAATTCCTGCCTCCTGCCTCGTCAGCCACAGGCTTCTCTTGGCACGTCTGTGTCCCTGAGAAGTCGTGAGCCCGGTTCACTGACCTTAGCATTTACCCAGAGTAAGGGTCAGGAGGCTACAGGAAGTATTGCTGAACGCTGCAAACAGGAAATTAAGAACTTCAGAAACGAGGGCCCTGCACAAAAGGCTACAAGGTCTAGTGTGAACACAGTGAGGTGAGGCCCTGCACTCTGACAGCTTGTTCAGCATCAAGGCGCTTGGCACATGGCAGTCATGCAGGTGCATGACAGTTCTCCTCAGCTTTCCTAGAAACACACCACACAAAGCCAATGTCGCCAAGGCAAAGCTTCCAACCTAAACCAGGAGGGAGCCATCAGGCAGCAGGAAAACCAAAGCCTTCCGAGAGGGGACCGAGACAGAGACACCTGGGCTCTGCTGAAGGAGCAGCCAAGGAAAATTCTGCCCCAGAAACATGTGGTCTGCCAACTCTTCCAGAAAATAGCAGCAGTTTTTAAAAAGAGAATTTAGAATTTACCCGATCGTGGAGATCATCCAGTCTGATGTGGACTGGTAATGAGGAAGGGCTGCTGAGGTCAGGTCCAGTTCTTACCTCGTAGTGGCCGATGGTATTGAGCTTGGTTATTCCATCTTCAAGAATCACAGAGGAGCTGTCGATATCCACAAGTTCTTTTTGTCGTGTGCCCACTTGAAGCTCTGGGAAAAAAAGGGGGGATATTTTTTCACTTTTAAAATCACAACAAAAATGTTCAACACTACGTGTTACTCTCAGAAATTGTGTTTATTTTAAAAAATTTCTTTTACAATATTTTTTATAAATAAATGAAACCTGAATAAAATGGTAATGCTTTATTGGAAAATATGGAGATATATCAGCCAGACTGGGGACCTGAGTTTTGTTTTTGGTTTGTGTTTAAGGAGGGCCCTGACATTTCAGGCTGCTTTTCCCTGAAGCTTTTAAGCTGAGGCTAAGCCTGGAAGTGAAGCCATTTAAGATAAAATCATGCACTCTCCGAAGGACTGAATGCTTTAAAAAAAAAAAAAAAAACAGAAAAAAGGTCCCCATACTCACATGCATGAGCACACGGGTTCACCAACAGAGGCACAATGGGAGTGGCCTCTGCAGGTCCCTGCCCACACACTGGCAGCACAGATGTGACCTCCCTGCACACGTGGCTGGCTTGTGCCCTGGCATCAGAATGTGGCCACAATTTTTTTTTTCTTGAACCTGCACAGTGTTTTATGAATTCCTGTGCTAATGTTAGCCTGACACCAACATTTAAAAATGATGAGATTGCACAAACAATTTTGGACTTCTGGTTTCTCTTTTTAAAACTCTGGCCACATCAACCCCGTGTCCTGCATGGCAGCCTTTGGCTGAAGCTAAGTGGCTCTGCCTGGTTAAGTGGCACATCTTTTCCCAGTTAATCAGGCCCCAGTGCTTCCTACTGTCCCAGGCGGTGACACTGTTTATGTCCTTTCTGCCCCTTTGTGCCCCTGAACTTGTGAGCCTCTGCTATTAGAGGTCTGAACATGACTGCTTCCAGGGTTACATAATACCACCTATGACTGGTTTCTAAGGCTTTGATTCAGTCTCCCCAGCCCAGCCTTGGCAGTAGTTTGGAAGATCACAGACACACAGCTGATAGGTCTCAGGCCACTGCCTGTTCTGGCCCTGGCTTCCTACTCTAGGAGGTGAGGACTTGGAGGGTGCAAACCCAGGAGAAGCCCAAGGACAAGGCCGTGGGCTCCTGCAGGGCAGGACGGAGGCTGCTGGGCTGTCCTCCCTGTGGTTGTCAGGCTGGGTGTGCCCACGTCCTTTGTGGTCAGAGCCACACATTTGCAAGACATAAGTTCAGGACAAGGAAGTTAATGGTTGGGGTGAAGTCCTGGCTTCCTAGCTGAGGCTGCCCCTCTGACCCCGTATCTAACCAGATGGGCCTTCAAGCTGCCCATCAGTCCATCCAACGGAAGGAAACAGAAGCCAGGTGGAGAGAGGTGCCCTGCAGTCTGTGAGGCAGGTCACACAGGGCCTGCACATTTGCATGGTCTTGCTCAAATTTCCCGGACCCTGCCCGGAGGCTCTTCTCAATGGCCTTTTCAGGAGGTCTGATTGGAGGGGGAGCATTTTAATTGCCTGCTTAGTGGAGGCCTACAACTGTACGCAGAGGGGAGATGAACCTTGTTACGCTGCCTGTCACTGCCACGATGTTACTCTCCTTTCCTGCCCCATTATCTGCTATAAAATCCCACGGCAGTCTCTTGGGAGGCTGCACGAGCTCAACTTTAAAATGTTGATGAACATTTGAGTGGAGCAGAGCCCTGTTAGCTTGCTCACGCATATGCTCTCCTTTGCAGTGTACCAATAGAGCCCGAAAATGAATTCCTGGCAGATGCTGCTTCAGGCTGGGGTAGGACGGAAAAGGCACTTAATGCAGGATGCGATTGGCAGAGAGGAGGATGACCTTTCTCGCGTGGCGGCATTAATACGTGGCGGCTGAGCTGCCCACTAATGACACGCTCGGGATCATAACAAACAAATCAGACGCCAATGTGAAAGGCAACACATCCAGAGGGCACAGGGTTTACACCTTTTTGTACTTCTTGATGCAAGGTGATTCCATTCCATCTCAGGGTCGACGATCTCATGAATCTGATTTACAAACATAATATTTTTAAAAAGGCATCTTTGAAGGGTGATCCTTCCTAGGAAGAATCAAGATGCTCGGGACAGAGCAAAGCAGCCCTCTGGCCCGTACAGGTGCCCTTTGGGGGCAGCCCAGGCCTTCTGAGAGTCATCAAACAGGAGCTGCTGGGCAGGGGGAGAGGGATGGCAGGGACAGGGCTCACCGGGGGAAGGGGACAGAGTAGCTACCGCATTGTCTTACCAAGACCAATCTCGTTGAGCTGCAGTCCATAAGGAGAGCCATTTTTGCTTAAGAAGGCTTGGAAAATCTTTTCTTTGGCTTGGCCTATGGTATCACAGTCAAGAACATTGACTGAAATATTCCGACAGACATCTGCACTCTCATTTTCTGGGATTTTTTCAAAGACAACGTTTAATGCCTGCAAGAACACAAACAGGTTTTCAAGTCTATTAGATAACTGCGAACTGAAAGGCATTCATAAAAGACACAAACCTTGGTGAGTCCTACTAATATCCCTGACAGCACATTAGCAAATACTGTATCGTAGGATACTCCTTTCATCTTTTCTCCATAATCCAGTCTTCTCGGGGATAATGGGAAGGAAAACACAAAGTTAAAACTCTCATTATAGAGCAAGTATTGAATAAATATATCTGAGAGGGAAATGTATATACACATAAATATTCTAAAAATGGTGATTTCTAATTTCATCCTCCAAAAATGAGTTGGAAAGGTTCCACGGTAAATGAGGGCAGACTGGTGATTATCTTTTTTATTAGCAGAACCACAGAGTCGCAGAGGTGAAGTTCCAGATGACAGGAAAGGTTACCAGGTCCCCGTATTGATCACACCAAAGAGGTCACGTTTTAGTATGCAGCAGTAATTAGGGTAACACTTTTCTCCCCCTCCACCTTCACCATCTTCCGTCAGATGTTTCTGAGACCTCATTAAAATCCTGAGATCCCACCCTGTACTATTATTCTTGCATTAATTACATCTCAGTGCCATTACTTAACGTCCTGTCAGTGAGCATGAGCATCCCCTGGTGCAGCGAGACCTCACCGTCAGGCGGAGGCGGAGGCGGAGGCGGAGGGAAGGCCCGTGTGTGTGTGTGTGTGTGTGTGTGTGTGTGTGTGTGAAAACACAGAAGCAGGGGTGTTTCAAAGTCAATCTACAAGCAAGTTCAGGTTTACTTTGTCTAAGAACAAATACACAGATCTCCAGCACCAAGTGTTATTGCCTGCAGGTCCTGGGGGAAGTGATCAGAAAAGAGGGAAGGCTTTTCTGCCCACAGGGTAACAGTTTAGAGTTTCCACACCTTGGTAATCAGCGAGTCAGAGGGAGGACCTGGGCATGGTGTGAAATACACAGTCACGGAATGTTTTTGAGCCTGGCTTAATGAAGGAGTGTAAAATGATCAAGTAATGGGGATATTAAGAAATACAAACACAAATGGGGAGGGGGGGTCCTTAGGACTGTCTCAATTATAAAATGTGATAATGACTGTACTTGCTTTTTTGTTTGTCCGTTTTTTTTGTGACAGGGTCTCACTTTGTAGTTCAGGCTGGCCTTGAACACACCATGTAACCCAGGCTGGCCTCAAACTTGTGGTGATCCTCCTGCCTCGGGCTCCTGAGTGCTGGGATCACAGGTGTGCACCACCACGCCCTGCTTGTACCAGCCTTCCATCATTGCCATGGAGACTAAAGGAGATAATGTGCCTGAGAGCTGCTGGGAAGAGCTCCATATCGGGCGGCTGAGAAGCTGTGTGACTTCTCCACCCTGCACTGACCAGCCGGTAACTTGGTTTCTCACAGAGCAGGAACAACTGTAACTGACTCCTGAGGGTCCTGTGACTGTGACTGGAACTAACCATCTCTGGCTGATGAGCTCTGGACCCAGGACTTACAGACTCCCACACGGGCCTGGTGCCACCAGAGTGCAGAGGCCAGTGTCCTCTCCCGAGCACTCAGCAGCCAGATGCGATCCTAAGTGCTACGGGGTTAATTCATCTCATCATCACAGGAGCGCGGTGAGTGTGAGCTGCTACTTCAGAGAGAAGGCGCCACCTGCGTGCACCCGGGCCCTCCTCAGGTAGGAGTCAGCCAGCACCTGACCTTGGGCTTCACAGCCTCCACAAGCATGGAAGATACTTTCCCATTGCTTATAAGCGGCCCAGTTTATGGCAGTTTGTTAGAGCAGCCTGAAAAGGCTGACAGATGCCCTTCAGTCCTGCCCTTCCAATCAATCCTATTTCTAATTGTGCAAGAGGAAGCTCTGGTCCAACGGTACCCAAATGCCTGAGATTCAGATCAGGGGACTCTGAACTCCTGGGCTGACGGGTGATCTCAGTCTGGCCCCCGGGGTCTGTGTCCTCGAATCCTGTCGCCCCTGCCAGCTCTCAAAGGACATCTGTGTGGCAGGCCAGCCACTGCCAGTAGGGTTCAAATGCCCCTCTGCTCACTAGCAAACCAGAACACACGAGACTGGAGAAGGCGGTGCCGGGTGAGGAGGGTCATGTGCAGACTCCAGAAGGGTCCAATGTGGTAGAGCGGCATGCCCGAGTCCCTCTTTTGCTGGCATTTGTTGGGATCTTGGGACTGGAAACTGCCACAGGCATTTCAAGACATACCCCCCACACCCCGCCCCCGTGCTGAGCCTTGCAGGGGCTAAGCTCCTGCTCTACCCCTGAGCTCCGTGCCCACCCCTAAGACATGTTTCTCTGAATTCTCTCAACGTCTTGGTGAAGAGCTGAATTATTACCACCATCCGCATTTCAGAGTGAGGACAGTGAGGCCAAGCCACTTGCCCGAGGACGCAGTAAGTGGCAGAGCCAGGTGCAGAAGCCTAATTTGCCTGACGAAGCGTGGGCGCTGTGATCCACAGGGCCTTGGTGTTGCTCCTCCTGTCACCTGGGCCTCCAGCGCTCTGCCCAGACCCTGCGGCAGCCAGGAGGCCCCTGCCCTCTGAGAGTCCCACCCTGGACTGCGTAAAGACAGAGTCCTCAGGGGGAGCCCCACACACGGGGACCATGCGGGTGTACGATGGGTAACGTGCGGCCTGCGCCGTGGCGAGGGTCGGGCTTTCACGGGGGCTTCAAGACCACCTTGACTGGAAACACCTTCTAGTCAGAGCCCCAGAACCCCAGCTGGTAGTATAGTTTTATGGGTATTTGTGAGATAACATCATGCTACCACCTAAGGGGCACTATTGTCTTTAACAAAAACACCTCTTTATAGGCAATAAATGTTCCTAAAAACATAACCAGAAGGGGAAAAAAATCTTAACTCGATGTAAAATAATGTAAATCTGCCACTGCCTCCACAGCAAAATGGGTGGAAAAGAGGTAAAATGGCATTTTACAGAGTCCACAGGGAATTCTGAGAGTAAATTCAGACACAAATTGATTTGCGTTCATTTTTTTATATGCTGACAACGCTCAGACAGCAGTTTCCTAAGAGCGCTCTCCTAAGGCGTGAGTGCGGGGTCCCTCAGGTCTGGCCTGGCCGACTCTTAGCGGCCGCACCCAGGCCCCACAGCTGGGGGACCCCCTGCCTCCTGTCTGGGATGGAGTAGCTATCCATGTCACTTCAGAGCAAGGGACAGCGCAGGTTGCCTTCAGCCACTGTGCCCCATGGAAGCCCATGGAGCCAGGCTTCTCCATGGCCTCCTCAGGGTCCAGTGGCATCATCCCTGTTCTCAGATCTTCCACAATATATCTGGGGGACACTTGGAACCAGCGCTCCACCATTAGGCACACCTGTGTCACCTCAAGAAATGCTCAGAGTCCTCAGTGGACAGAGCAAGGGTGCAGAGGGCTCCGGCGCAGGCCAAGCAGACAGCACCACCCACTGCTCCCCCCAAGCACGTGAGTGAGGCCAAGCCATCCGCCCTCGCTGGGCCTGCTGCATCTCAGAGGAGCCAGGATCACCACGTAACGCTAACAATGACAGCAAACTAGGGAGCGCTTCGGATGCGCCAAGCACTGTTGCCAATGGCGTCTACACCATCCATCTCCAGAACAGCCCACAAACGAGGTGGAGTCCGTTGCAACACTCATTTTACAGATGGGAGACCGAGGCATGGAAAGGTTAAATACACTGCACAAGGGTATCCAGGACCAGGCACCCCCAGCGCCATGTTCTTAAGACCCCGTAAATCTGCCTTCCAAACTATGAGGATGTTTCATGAAACGAAGCACGGTTCAAATCTACAGGATGGTGTTTCGGTTTCGATACTCACAAAAAGCCAAGGGCTCTAAACGGAATGTTGGTCTTTTGCCCAGAAAGGTGGCCCTCTGTTAAGAGGAAGTGCTCTGGATCTCCCTACTCCCTTGGCGTGACAGTGCCTGCAAAGCCAACCAACAGCCCTCCTTCCTCCTCTGCTGACAGGAGCCAGGCAGCAGCAGCAGTGGGCCCCTCTGAGGATGCACCACTGGTGGTTACCCCCTTCTCCTCCACCAGAGACCGGTCATATGACAGTGCTAGCCAATGGCAAAGGAAAGGAAGAGTTTTCTACCCTAGCAAAAGGGAGGAGTTGTGCATTGTGCTGTGGCAGCCAGCCGGTGAGTAGGAGGCAGGGCTAAGAGGAAACAAAGACTGTGAAACAGAGCTCTGACCGGGCTGAGCATACGGAGCAGCCTGGGAGCTGCTGACCACCATACCCTGCTCTAAGATGCAACCCCATGCTCTACTATTCCAGGGCCTGTTACTCCGATTTTCTCTTTCTCACAGCTGAATGTACCCAAACCAGTGGTGCTCACTTATTCCACACCAATTGAGCACAGGGCTTTACAGATGACTCCAAGTAGGGAAGGCCTGGCTCTAATCCTGCCTGGGAAATACTGGTGGACTAGAACTGTGGGACAAACATGACTCCAAGGCCAGCTCCAACATGGTGGACAGATGGAGTGTTTTAAGGGTTCCAAGACTCACCAGCTCTAGCTTGGGGGGTTACGCACAGGGAGGGAACCGGGAAGGCTGCACAGCTGGCTTGGTCTGCAGCACACGAGGGAGGCCTCTGGACATGGGGACACTTGGCTCCCAGGCGGCGGGTGGGTAGCAAGCTCCTGTTTAACTCAGGCTGGCCGGTCAGGAAGCCAGAGAGAGAATCCCACTCCCCGTAGGCCGAAGGCAGGGTGGAGAGCTTGCAGGCTGCAGTTCCCTGCCCAACCCCGTATGTTTTGTGGGGTACAGTGGTGCAGAACAGGCTGGGTAGCTCTGGGTTTATACTGAGCACTTCTCACACACTGGGAAATGATTTGCTAATTCTACCTAATTCTCACAAGTCTACGCCGTGGGTACTATTTTTAGCCTCATTTAACAGATGGAGAAACTGAGACAGAGAGGTTTAGAGACTTGTCCAGGGTCACAGAACTGCTAGAGCGATCACAACCAGGGTACATCGGGACCCTTAACT